CTGACCTCCTCTGGGTTTGAACTCTGCATGCTTCTGAGGCAGGTTTGAGCTGCTCCTCTCCCACAGCAAGTGTGAGTTCTCGTAGGAGGTGCTGATCCCAACCACTCATCACTGCAGTCCGCTGCATGTTTATCACAGTGGCTCTCTTCGCTCTCCCGGTGGGCTTCAATTCTCAAGAACAAGCCTCAGAGAGGCCCTCTCTCTGCTGCTCCCCAATGCGCCATCTTCCTGAGCTCAGAATGATGGTCTTTCTGCTCTCCAGGGTTGTCTGTATCTGGCAGTCATTCTTGTGAGTAGCCCCACTGCTGAATGGTGTGCAGGCCTGGCACCCTTGGCTGCTGAATCAAGAATATTGAAACCTGAAAAGAGAAACTAGCTAATGCCTACTTTCCTGCATATAAGGGAATTAAGAACGTTTTTAAAAAGGAGGAGATACTTGATTTAGGTCCTGAAGAATAGATTTCTGTGATAGCTGAGGAACTAGCAGAAGAACTAGAATATAGCAGAGCTAAGACATACAGAAATACAACCTCACCAAAACCTACTTAGTATGCATGGAGAAATTGTTGACTGGCAGAGTACAGTGAGTGGGAGGCCAGGGAGTGATAGGTGGAGACAACTGCTGGAAAATTTGTGTGCAAGACACAGAACTTCTTTTGTAATGCCCTGTAGGCAGTAGGAGAAAGACTTCAGCATGACATGATCATTTCTGTTAAGATCATTCCATCACAGTTGATAAATTAGACTGAAAGCGTTAGGAAGCTTTTTGTAGGAGCCATAGTTTTAAGTTCGTGTGATTTTACAGTCTGTTCAGATTGCTCGCCTATCTTTAGTTTACTAACTGTTGAATTTTGTCAGATGTTTTCTTTATCAAAGGAGATGATTACATGGATTTCTTGTTTATTCAGTTAATACGTCAACATTTTTTCATTGACCATTGGCCAATGAATGACCATTGTATTCTCATATATTACGTGGCACTAAGTACACTCAGCGTTGTGCAAATGTCACCATCTCCAAAATTTTTCCATCTTTCCTCAGTAGAATTCTGTCTTAAATAAACAATACTTGCCTGTTCCTCTGTCCCTCTGTCACTGTCAACTACCACTGTACTTTCTGAATTAACTCAACTAGTTAATTCCTGCAATATTTGTTCTTTTATGACTAGCTTATTTCACTAAGTGCAGTGTCTTCAAGATGCATTCATGTAGCATGCACCAGAATTTCCTTCCTTTTTAAAGCTGAATAATGTTCCATTGTAGGAATATATTACATATCATTCCTTCATTCATCTGTTGATAGACAGTTGGATTACTTCCTCCTTAATTTTTAAATTTTAATATAAGAGTATACTAGGTTAGGTAAAGTCTTGTGGAATAACAATGGAAGGAAGACGTATCTTTCCTTTCTTTCATACCTGAAAATCCATTTAAACCTCAAGCTCAATTTTAAAATTAAGATATAAAAGACGCCATAGAGTTGTTTTGTGAGAGTAAACATTTAGTGTGAGATCATAGCATCATTATTAGTTAACTGCCCAAATTGTAATGTCAAAGTGTAATTAACTTACTTTTACCTCTGCTTCATTTACATTATTTGAATTAATTTACATCCCCACAGTATTATGGCACTTTGGCTGTGGCTATTTGTTACCCTATGAAGTTCCTGTAGCATTTTATAGTTTGAATTCATAGTACACCAAGGAGAGAACATTTCTCTATTATTTCCTTTTTCAGGAGACATTCAACATTCATATTTCTGTTGTACTTAGAATAAATATAAAGGAATCATAAAAAAAAACTATTCTAAAATCTGTAAAACATTAAAATAATTCAGCAATAGCATGAAGCTAAGCTTTAATGTAGGAAGGTGTTGTTTTGACAACTTGAAGTAACAAAAAGTGTGATAAATGTTTTTTTAAAAACTTTAATCTCTGGCTTTGTGTGGATATAAGCATGTTTTGAAGAGCTCCATGAGCTCCTTTTCTTAAACGCCTAGTCTCCTTTTGATTAGCTATGTAAGGTTTGCAGTTTTAGCTGTCTGGATAATTTTTTCCTTTCTCTAGAGATGACCAGAAAAAATTATTAAGAAGTGATAAGTTTCTGTAAAATCTTCCAGAATCCCTTTGTTTTGGTTTCATGACACTAGGGCTTTTTTGTAACCTTGTCAGGTTTAGGATGGGGATGTTGTGTACAGATTCACACACGTGCAAACATGCCATAGTGCCCTGTAAAAAGACCTAATCTTGACTAGTTTTGTTTTATTAGGGCTTGAAGCTAAAAAGCAAAGGTTTTTAGAGGTAGGAGGAAAGGAACATACTGCATTCCCTTCAGTGATTAGGTATAAAAGTACAGACAAACTCAGGAATTTCCCTGAAAGTGCTCAGTCCTTGATAACAGTCAGAGTTCAAACTTGATTGTATCTGATTCTCATACACCACACAGTGAATTTAATATCGGCCTTAGATACCTGAGAACACATTGTGATTATTACAATAGCAAGCTTCATTTTGAAGCTGAGTTAAGATTTGCAGTTAGCCTTTAGAAAGCAGTGTACTTTAGTACCTTAGAATAGAGGTGCATTTTAAATATATCTTTTGAGTTTTATTTTTGGTTTTGCAACTAGATTTTACTAAGTACTTTCTGCCAAGTATTCGAAAGATACTCCTCATCCATTTCTCAGTCCCTTAAGCAACGCTCTAATAGTAGGCATCAATCCCTTAAACAACACTAATAGTAGACATTATTACTCCATTTTAAAGATGAGTGAACTGAGGCCCTGGGTAAGATTAAGACAGTTGCCCAACGCCATGCTATTTGGAAGTAGTGGAATTTAGGTTTGTAACCAATTCTGTGGTTCTACAGTGCATGGCTTGGACTATTCTACTATACTTCTCGCCTTCCACACATGCTCTCATTTTGAGATATCATACTAGTTACAACCAAAATCTAGTTAGTGGATATCATCTTCAAGTTGTTTAACCTCAGAAATTGTCATTTGGTGAAAAGGATTAGCTGAACTAACCTAAACTCTTGTTTTATAGAGTCAATATAACCTGCCAGCACCTTAGTGCTATGAGTGGCTAATAAAGTCATGACTTAAATATGCTATTTAAAATGAATTCAAGGATCATGGTGACCACAGTTCATGGTGACATATTTCATGCCTGTGACTTGCTTGAATGTAGATTGTGTGACAGTAATGAGAAGAAGGTGATATATTAGATTCCTAGTAGGGAACATGATTAAATTATGCTTTGTGGTCACATGTTTTAATTTTAACAGTACAGCTGCTTGGTGAATCTTGATGGGAAGAGTGCCTGTCAGGGCAAACTTAGTACCTGTTGAAACATTTTAGAACCATCCTGTTTGCTGCTAAGAAACTAACTCTCCCTGAGATAAAATTCTTGTTGCATTTTTAATGGTGAACAGAGGTGTCTTCTTAATAGTAATACATTTAAAAATCATTAAAGTGAGTCTTAACTGAATATTTTAAATATATTAAATAATGTTTCATTGCTGTCAGAAAATAATAACTAAAAGTCTGGATATTCATGCATGAGATATTGGGCTAAAATCATAATTCTTAAAAAATGTCTGAAATAATTAATTTAATTAATAAATAATTAGTATTAATATTTGGACAGTCTTTATTATTTAAATATATAAAGACCTAAAAAGGAATCTGTGATTTTTGTCAAAGAAAGTTTTTAAAAATATGATAGTTTTATATCTTGTCTTATCTTGCTTAGTTATGTAATCTTGTTTTGGAAGAATATTTTAGCACTTCATATTAAGTGAAATAATTTCAAAGGTTTTATAGCTTGAAGGAATAGGGTAAGATTAGAGTATGAAAGAAACATTAATTCAGAGTTTTTTGAGCAAGTCTTTTAAAGGAAATTATATTAAATAATAAGAGGGAGTTTTACAAGGACTGCAAAAAGAGGATAGAGGCAAGGACTTCAAGATAAAAGGAGATGAGATATATTTTTGAAAGCAGGCTTTTGTGTCTGGAATTCAAGAAGCCAAGGACTCTATGACAAAGTCAGTGCACGTTGGGAAGTCCATATCAATAGTGCCCTGCAAGCTGTGCCAGGCTGGTATGTTGTATGTCACTGTAACAGGAAACTTGAAGGGTTTCAAACAAAGGGCTGATGGGATGGGATTGTTTCGTTTGAATGGTTGATCTGACATGAGAAAAATACATTGGTAGGGATAATTTTGGAGGCCACGTGATCAGTGAGGAGGCTTCTGCAAAAGTTAAAGAAGAGTATGATGACTTGGTCTAGGGTTAGGATGGAAATGGAGAAGAGTAAAATGGATTCATCATAAAATTTGGAGATAGAAATGACAGCTGCTGGTTAGACTTTAAATATAGAGGATTAAAGAAAAATAGGAGTCAAGAATAACTGGTGTTTCTGTTTTCAGTAATGGTGGTTAGTATAGTAGTGACATTTACCAAAACAGTGAAGATCACTAGAGAAATAAAAGGAGGTGAAAATAGAATAAAAGTTAAATACAAGCCTCAGGATGTTAGGAATTTTGCACTGTGAACATTTTTTCTATCCTGAGCAGCATAAATACCAATTATGCGAATAAACAAATGACCTGGAATAAGGTAACAGCAGACAATTTCTTAATTTATAGAACTAATTTTCCATTTATAGCCCTGTTTTTATTCTCTTATATATAAGAGATAAATTGCTATTGTAAAATTATCTGGTGCTGTTACTGTATTCTCCCTAAGAAAGCTTTCTGTTTTACAAATGTTCTACATTACATTCATTCTACAGTGTAGAATGCTTCCTCTCTAACATATTAAACATGAAGCATTTTTATGTACCAAAATATTTTTCTGTTAGAAAACTTTTTACTTTCTTTTCTGTTTTTTATTGACAAAAATGTTAATCTTTTTCTTTAATCTTGAAATCTTTGTGATTATTAAATTAAATGAATTTGAAAATCATATATTTAGTCTGTATCTGCATTCTTGTTTTTTAGGGATGACTGTCAGTGCTAATAAAGATGGCTTGGGGATGATTGTTCGAAGCATTATTCATGGAGGTGCTATTAGTCGAGATGGCCGGGTTGCCGTTGGGGACTGCATTTTGTTCATTAATGAAGAATCTACCATTAGTTTAACCAGTGCCCAAGCACGAGCCATGTTAAGAAGACATTCTCTCATTGGGCCTGACATAAAGTATGTATCATTTGGTCCTCAGTTTGGCTTGGGAAATTAAGAATTTTAATTGGTCAGAATGCCACTTTCAGCGGATATTCCTGTTTTATATACAAAAGTTATTATATATTTATTTAACACAAATTACTCCAGAATTAACTATGTTTGAATTGTACTTGATTGTAAATATATTCTCCTTGAGACTATCACACTGTTGAAAATTTGAAAATAACATGGTTTTATTGTTTTAATTTTACTTCTCCAGTGATTCTATAACAACTCAAGATGTGAGAGATGTGAGACATCTTTCACAGAGCCAGGGCATCCATTCTTCAGTTCTTAGAAAGAAATTTGAGTTGGTCTCATTGTAAAGCACTGGGCACTAACTCCCCTGTAGGAATTTGAGAACCAAGCCAGTCCTGTAAGGGCCAACCATGAAAGTCAGTGCCCTTCTGACCCATAATTCACCCTTTTTTGAACTACTTAATGACACAGAGGGATCCTCCACTATGTTTGGTGCAGTCTAATTATAGGTCATTTTGGATATTTATATCCAATATGTAGGATATTTTGTTGTAAGGTGCTTAAAATTTCCCATAATCCCCTAATGTTCTAAAAGCACATTAATATGTGATTCTCAGTCCCTAAACATTCCTTGAACCATCATAAAAATGAGTTCGTGACTTTATTATCACACTTCATCCATGTCCTTGTAACATTAATCATTGAATATATAAGGGATAAATTCATAAAATAAGACCTCAGGGAAAGATTGCTTACCTTAAATTGTATAAGAGACTTTTGTATTAATGTTATTTTACTGAGAACATTCTGTATTACTGGTTCTTTTGCAATGCACATATTGCTAGTGCTCAGGGAGGAAAGTACATTTACAACCTGTTTTTCATTCTGCCATCAATATAAAACAAAAAACAGTATATACCATTTCAAATGGTTTTTGCTGTTTTACGTGCAATATTATTTTTAGGCAGAATCTTCACCAATGTCCTTTTATATTTTTGCATGCCTTTTTGACTTTTACAGTTGAGCAGATCATCTGATCATGTTACTGTTCCTTAATTATTTTACAGTGAAAAGGTACAAGTGAACATTAAAAATTTCAGCCCCTCTCTTGTATGAAAACAGAAACTTCAAGTGCTTTCCTCACCACTTAAAGCGGTGTTCCTTTTCTTAAAAGATAAGTGATATAGATCCATGATAGACTTATTACAAGGGCTTCAGCTGACACAGATTAGTTATAGTATGAAATGCATGTACCTTTGTCACTGATTATTTAACTTGTTGTATTGTAATGTATGTGTTGTATTCTGTACCGATTCAGGCCCTCTAGCCCAGTTTTTCACACTCTGAACCCCAGATTCACTGTGTGGTACTAGCTTTACTCCTAAATTCTAACGTCCTGCTGCATAAGTTAAAAAGTGGCCAAAAACTAAGGCCATGGTGACATCAGTTTAATATAAGTCATGCATCTAGTCAATTCTAGAGTCGTTTTTGAGGTGTATTTTCAAGCTCAGAAAGTCTTTTCCAACCTTTTCTTTTTTCTGTGTGTGTATGTATGTGCACATGTGTGTATTTTCACCTAACTTTTGACTCAGCAGAATTACCCATTTATGTAGGCAGTGGCCTTATGACCTTGAATGATATCTGAAAATAGCTTCATAAGTAATTGCTTTAATATCTCAGGAGACAAAATGTACTATAGAATTTTACATTACAAAAAGAAGAATCCTACAACTTTCCCTCCTCTGGAAGTGAAGCAGCCTGTCATATTTCACCAGTGTGTGCATACACACACACACACACACTCACATTTTCAAGTGTACCCACAAAGCACATTGCTTTCTTAAGTGTCCCACTGATACCCTGATTCAGATGATCATAGCTTGACTCATTGAGTAAATGATGGAAATTAAAATCCACCCTTAAACAATGCCTTTTTAGAGACAAATACTAGATGATGAAACAATATAGCTGTTTAGACCAACCAGGGTTGAGCAGCAGGTTTCCTGCCTTTTGCACATACTAGTTTTACACTGTTCCTTTCAATTACTTGGCTTTGATGAAACAAAGGTTTAGAATTACCCTGAAAGATATGTGAGTAGTTCTCCCAAGAGGATAGTCCAGTTGTTTCATTGCTCTGAATGGAGCCATGACACTTTCTCTGGACAGTTAAGCTTTGTACTTGTTGCTTGTATTTAGGCTCCATGCACATCATGTTCTCTTTATTTCTTGTTATAAACCTAGCTTAATCTGGTGCTGGTAGAGAGTTGTATTGTGGGGACATAAAAAAAAAGGACTGGTTCAGTTACATAACTGGTTGGTTATAAGGAAAGAATTGCTTACACAGACAATGAACTGGGTTTCTTTATTGCCATAGATAGCTAGGAACTGTGTGTGTGTGTGTGTGTGTGTGTGTGTGTGTGTGTGTGCATGAATGCACATTCATGCATGCCTGGATACATAATTTGAGTTTCAAGAGTTCAAGAACAGCCAGTTTAAGTTCCAGGTTTTATTATTTTCTTTGGAAAACCAGATGTGAAGCCTTACCAGAATGCATTCTGTTTCACTTCTCACTCCACCTTGCCAGGAGCTCTTACATTTTTATAATAATAGCAAGGGTTTTGTGCTTAGAAGCAGCTGCTTATAACATCTGCCAGATAATTACTGAACTGAATCAGAATTCACCTGCCTTAACCTAAAGTGTGGGATGAATTCCTGATCAAGGAATAAAAGATTGATTGCAGTTATATTTTTTCCATGCTTGTTAATAATCATTGCTATAGACACCAGTAAAGAGCAGATGCTTTTCTGGGGGAGGTGTAGATGAGAGGGAGGTGGAAATGAAAAAAAAAAAACAGGAGCACCCACTTTTAACTACATATGTATGCATCTCACACTCCGCACAAGACATTGACATTTGTTAACACCATTGTAAAAAGATGCCACGGCGTATGCTTCACATTCTAGATTTTCTGCAGCACCTGCTGACGAGCGAGCCCCCTTTTATGTGTGAGTATTGGTGATTCAAAAGCTCATTATGGCTGTGTGTTACAACTTGTCTGTGAAAACCGTTTCATGCTTTTGTAACATTCCAGTGTAGGTTTAGATCCAGATATAGAAGTAGTATATGCATTTTGGCTTTTGTCCCTCATTTATATAAGAACATAAATTCCAGCAGAACTATGAGATTGTTACATTTCATGTTGCAGTGATGACTGGGAATACATTTGAAAATCATTTTTTCGAACTGCTAAGGTTTTAGGCTGCATGTGTAGGCTTGATCTCTGGATTAATAGCCATATTACATTTCGGCATCACTAACGGTATTCCTTTTTCTTCTACTTCATGTGTAACCTAAGGTTAGTTTATGTTTCAGAATTTAATACAAGTCTCAAGCTGTTGCAGTGTGTTTATGACATTGGCCATTCGGCTTCATTTTCTGTGTAGTGACGTGGAACAGTGTGTGGTCCTGTGACGAGTCATGTCTTAGAGTCCCTGCATGTGCTATTGCATTCTGGGATGTTTGCTCTGCTGGCCTCACTGTTTGCATTTTGACAAATATTTGTAAACTGCCTTTTTTTCTCCTTCTCACCGCTACCCAAATTATCAGAAAAATATTTGTAAAGCCCCTATCCTTTTGGTAAAAGAAAAACAGCTTTAAGCAAATGTAGAAGAAAACTCATTTTCACCATTGGAATAGAAACATCTTTACTTTCTCAGACCAGTTTAAAAACTAAATAGTTTGTACTTATTATTTTTGCTTCTGTGTCCTCTCTTTGACTCCTCACCTTTTCCTGGTTTTAATTTTTTATTTATATAAGTCTCCCTAACTCTTCAGAAATAATACTTCTTTTCTGAAATAGTCTTTTCGGGTTTTAGGCTTATCTTTATTTTTCTTTGTGTAAATTACAATCTTCTTTCCTGACATAATGTATTGTACATATTTTCATTACTTTTGAAGGGATAACAGCAAAGTTTCTATTCAGTATTTTTTGTAACACCTTAGAGAAAGTGTTTTTACAAATGAATAAATTAAGGAGAGCCAGAATGAGAACGTAACTCTTTTACCCTGCCAGCCATAAATTACTGATCTGTGTTTTCTGCCTCGTTTTGGTCCTGGAAATAAGTGTCACGAGAAGATTTGAAAGGGTCTGTGTGTCTGCAGGACTGATAGGTGTAATTCCTAGAGCCTTGGTCCTGCTAGAGCACTGCCTTACCTTTTTATAGTGCTTTTCCGCTGACAGTGCCCTTATAAAAAGTCACACTGTGTTGTGCTTGAGGTTGTGGACTTTCAGCAGTAGTGACCTACCTTGTTCCACATTCCCAATGATAGCAGAACACAAACCCAACCAACCCCCCACTTTGGAGAAGTGAAGAACTGAATGTTTTTTATGGAGTGACAGATACATCTGAAATCATGAATCTTTCTTGCTCCAGAAATTATCTCATTGCTATAATTTTTATTTTCTTTCATAAAAGACAGATTTTTGTATCTTTGCCCTCTAGTGCTGAGGTTTGATGGAATTATTTTAATGGATAAATTATGGATGACTTAATAGTATTTATGATTTCTACATTGGGCAAAAATATAAATATAATATTTAAAAATACATTTTTATAATATACGTAAAAATATACATATATATTACACAAAAATACAAAAAATATGCATTTTTTTTCTTAGCTTCAGAAAAAGACAAACTGACTTCTATAGTATTTCTTTAACCTTCCTTTCATGCAGTATTGTATCTTCAGCAGCCAACTTAAAAAAATGTATCAGCGGTGTAAATAGGCTTACAAGACAGCAGTAATTTTTACACATCATGTTCTTGAAACCCTAGCTTATTCCCTATCTAGTACAGTGCTTCCACTTAATAGCCATTGGACTTTGGTCAGTACTTTTAAATTAATATATGGACTTTGAATTGTAAACAGCATGCCTTTCTTTAAAATAGAAATAAACATAAACAAATGCTACAAATTAGTAATTCTTTCCTTAGGTTTATGTGATTTAACTTCAGACTTGAGAGTTCATAATTTAATAGAGCTAGCAAGGTTACTGATAATATTTAATCCTCGTACTTAATTATGTTCTGTGGGGAAGTTAAGGTAATTTATGATATCCAATATTGTGATAGAGTATACCTAATTTGTTTCTGTTAGGGAACTCAAATATCTTCGGACAGCGTTAATGCTATTATTGACAATTTGTTCAGAATTGTTATTATCATTGTTTTGCAGTGTTAGGAAATTAAACTAAGGACTCACATATTCTAGGGAAGTACTCTACCACTGAGCTACACCTCTAGCCTTCTAAGGCTGTATTCCAAAACTTTCCTGTTTGTTTTCTCATTTGGAGATATATACATTCAATATAAATTATAGCTACTTTTCTCCCTTTGTGATTATTAGTAAACGCAGTTTATTAGCAGCATTTAGAAATATAATTTCAGTTATTTTTGCCAAAGGAATATTTTTACCTTTTGAAATTTGAGCTGTCTGATGAGTATACTGATTAAATGAGTTGTATGAAAAAGTAGGCATGAGAAGACAATACATTTTTGTCCATTTTGGAAGCTTTTCCTAACAGGCCAATCTTCCTTTCTCTTTGCTCTGATGGATTGTGTTTTGCTCCAGAATTACTTATGTGCCTGCAGAACATTTGGAGGAGTTCAGAATAAATGTGGGGCAACAGTCTGGAGGAATAATGGCACTGGATATTTTTTCTTCATATACTGGCGGGTAAGTGAAACATTAAATCTACAATTAATGAAAGACACAATAAATTATAAAGAAGAATTTGAACCAGAATCAGGAAAGATAAGTAAAAGTCTGGATTTCTTTGCATCTTCCGAGATTTTTAAACACATTCTCCTGAATACTTAAGTAATCATCATATAATCTGAAGAATTTGGGGAATATAAGAATATTCAAAGGAAGAAATTAAAATAATCCTTAATTCTGCCACCTAATAAAGCACTTTTAACATAATTATCAGATATACCTTCAGAAATTTTATTTATTAGACATATATAAGTTCATAAACATTATAATACTTTTTTAAACTCTTCTAGAGAATGTTGAATTGAACATCTTGATATATAAGCATGTTATGCTTGAAATAGAATGTTGGCTTTTCCATAATGAATATACCATTATACTCTCAGTTATAGGTTTTTTTTTTCAATTGCACTGATAACTGAATACCAGATTTTTCTTTCAGCATTGTTCTGCCATTCCTTATAGGATATCAGAACATCCCAGAACACCCTGGTGTCCAGTGACCCTGCAGGAATCATGATATTGAATTATTTCTTCCTCTGAGAATTCCAGTATTAGGAAAAGAAAAGAGATGCTATGTGTTTAATAAAGGGAAGGAATGTTATAATCTTTGGGGCCTCGTGAAGTTTATGGGAAAAGGGGTACTCCATTCTGTGCAAACTTCAGCCACACTTCACTATAGAAGTTCTATCCCAAGATTAATGGCATGAATTGATTATGGTTTGTTAGTGCTTCTTGTCCCATTTTGAGGGTGCTTAATAAAGTACTGCAACAACAGTCCATTGTCCTTTTGAAATGTTTCAAATGGCACGAAGAATGCACCAGGTAACATCTTAGTCTTTATAAGTTATGGGGCCTTAAAATGCTCAAAAGTTATTGATTAGAAGGAGCCACTTTCAACACTGTGCATCTCTTGCAGCATGGAAAAGAGAGGCCCTTAATTGTCTAATGCTATGAGTAGCTGCTGTACCATAAAGGAAGTATGTTTGTTGTATATCATGGTGCTTAACACAAAATAAAGCAATCTGGTGAAAGGAAGTTGCCCAAGTCTTACAGTGAATAAGTATCAGAGTCATACTTACAATGAAGAGAGTTGGACTCCTTGTTCTTAAACACTGATTCCATAGGAAGCATTGCATAAATGTATAAAAATATGTGCTACATAAAAATGAGTGGCAACAGAGCATCAAGTTAAGAGTTAGGTTTTGTGGTAAGATAGCTTTAGTTCAAATCTCACTACACATGACTGTGTGACTTTGTCCCAGTTACTTTAGCGTACACATACATGCAGATATAAATAGAGTTAGCAATTAGAGTTGATAGAAATTGCTTTGGTTTTCAGGAGTTTAACACTGAGAAAGATATATCTAATTCTTGGCTGAATGAGTACAGGCAAATGAGAATTGGTCCATTCTTCTCTAAGGAGCGCATGACATTTGAGTTCTGAAGCTATACTCTAAAATGGGTAAAGAATGATCTGCACATTTGGAACAGCTTATCTGCATTAGTGAAAGAATTCAAGGTTTTGAAACAATTTCAGGCCATACAGGGTATTTGTGTTCTCTTAGATAAAAAGGCAGGACTGTGGGGCAGTATGACCGGGGTTTTCTGAGTATCTGCCAGGCTGGGTTCTAGGGCTAAAACCCCTCCCCATCTCATGGCTGTCACTGGGCACTTTTGTTACTCTCCCTAAATCCCAGTTCTATCTTCCAGGGTTCCTTTTGCTGTCATACCTTTTCCAGTTATATTTCCAGAGGGTTAAGGTTTCTGCCTCTCTGCCTTCATCCTCTTGATGAGGACTATTTCTCAGTGGCCTTTTGGGCATCACTTTGGAATCTGCTTCTTGGAACTGTCCCTGCTGTCTGGCCCTGCTGTCAGTCTGAGTCTCCAGGCAGCCAGCCTTGTCCAGGGCCATCTTTCATTGGCATTCAGACTCAAAACTGATAGTAGGGTGCTCACGGGGAGAGCACGTTTCAGCCACTTACTTTTGCTATCACCAAAGAAACGGTGAGATGTTCCAAGGGAGCCTAGACCGTTCCTCTCCAAACATGACCACATTTGAACACGGATTATTAGATGAAGTGGTTTCTGATCTCAGTGTAAAGTAATAGAATCGAAGAGTTCAGTGTTCCTGCCAGTGGAGACTGCTTAGAGTTTGAATATGTACTTTTGATTTTTTTTCAGTTTTAACAAAATCACCTGAAGATTTTTATTAGATCAGAATTATATAGCCTTCTGTGCTTTAAAAGGAATATACTCACGTTTCTTTAGAAATCCAGTTTTTACCAATAACATAAAGACATGCCATAATCAATTTAACTGTTCTCTATTTCTTTTCAGTGTCTTTTATTGATATAAAGTATACCCTTGGAGAGACAAAATAGTTTTTGGTAAAATTGTACAGTCAGACACATTTTGTTTTATGGTTGATATCTGGTAAAATGTGAATTGTTATAAAAATTGAAAGTATACCTTCAAGGAGTGTTCTTCCTCTGGGCCCTCTGGATGGATGGAGCTAGACTAGAAGTACTTCCGTCTTTCTTCGGAAGTTAAAGGAACAGTTTGATCTCACCTTGGGAAATGGAGATGCTAAACTCCTCCCACACTTGCTGCCTGATTGTTCCAAGGCAGGGAGCAGAGCTGAGTGTACTTCCAACCCGCATTGTGCCTCTGGGTTTTTGGCACATATTAGTAATTTAGGAAGTATTTGTTGAATTCTTCCTTTAAATTTCAGTATTCACTTTTTCCTTTATTCTCCCATGTTTTATCAGGAAACAAAAAGGCTAGACTAGACTGTTTTCAGTTATATTTCCATACTGTGCTATGGTTGATTGTTTGTAATATAAGGATCTTATTTTATTTGGTTTGATTTTTTTTTCCCCTTCTGCTATAAAAATATATATGCCTTGGCCAGGTGTAGTGAAAATATAAAGCAGTTTGCTTGGCCAACAGTTAAGTGCATATAAGACAATATTGCGTGTCGTACTCATTGAGAAACTTCTTTAACCAGAGAAATTCCAGAACTACCAGAGCGAGAAGAGGGGGAAGGAGAAGAGAGTGAACTTCAAAATGCAGCGTACAGCAACTGGAATCAGCCCAGGAGGTAAGGACTGTTTCTGTGTTCTACCCACTCAAAGGATATATATGTTTAACAATGGAGAAGTATAGTTTCAAGTACTGTATTTCAGCTTTCTACTTGTGATTTGGGCAAGTTATTTAATATTCCTAATCCTGTAATCCTTCTTGTGTACAATGAAGAAAATAATGTATGTCATATGGGGTTAAAAACTAAACATATATGCAATAATCTGGCATATAGTATGGACTAAATAAAATTAGAGAAAATTATGCATAGGTAGTTGGCATACATAATAAGTTCTGGATAGTTTTAGGCATAACACCATTTAAATTTTATTTAGCATTTGTAGAAACTCGCTATCAAGTATATATTTAAAACAGGTGTGTGTCTCTGTAAGTAAGCAACTTTGTTATTAAAAGCTAAGTTTATCCTAAACCATGCTCCATCTAGTGCTACTTCTACATATAATAGAGAAATACCTTTCCTGCATATACTCAGATATATCACTGTGTATTCAGAAGGCATGTTACGGTTAGATTAAGAATGTCCCCCAAAGGCCTTGTGGAAGGACATCGGGAGGTACTGCTATCATTAGTGGAATCCACCACTGATGAGCTCAGCAGCAAAGTGTGCTGTCAGAAGGCGGGGGCTGGACAGAAGAGAGGATGTCTCCCTCCCAGGCTACTCCCTTTTCTCTGCTTTGGGCCAACTTGGTGTGGGCTGCTCTCCTCTTCCCAGGCCCTTCCATCACCACCATGGTGTTTCTCTGTAAGCCTGCTGAACATGGACTGAAACTGTGAGCCGAAACAAACCTTTCCTCCTTTAAGTTCCAGTTGTTGGGTATTTTGTTCAAAAATGAGGAATGTAACTACTGCAGCACATTAACATGTTCATATTGAGGAAAATCAACTTGAGTTTGACAGGAGATCATTGAGTCTTAAAGTCCATGATTTGGGAATAATAGGGAGTAAATATGATTGCTTCTCAGCCTTTTGGCCAAGATCAAGTGTAGGAAGTAAATATGAGACACAGACCCTGCCTCAGGGGACTTATTGCATACTTGTCTGGGCAAGCTATAGAGACATAAAACAATTAAAAATGATACAAGATATTTTGCATTAATTATAAAATTTAAGTGATCATTTGATATCCCTCGAAACAGACCTAAATGTAACAATTATGAGGTTGCCTTGTTCTTAATAAACATTAGTATTTGCTACACAGTGGGTAAAAAAAAAAAAATGTTCCAGAATGGAATATATAGCTTGATGATATTTTCCCTGCTCAAAAATGAACTTGACCCTGCAGTCTTTCTATTTAAACATTTTCAAAATATAGAAAACATCTTACGTTGCTGTCAAGGAAATAGCATTTCCAGCCATCCAGAATGAGTTTTGAATTTGAACTGAAGCTATTCAGCTTTTTTTTAAAAAAATTCAAGGTCTCCCCAAAGCTCTGCCCACTTTGAGAACACGATATAAGTGCTAGATCCGTGGCACAACTATGAGGTGTTAAGAACTGTCTTATGTATTTGTAAATTGAGGAAGAAGTAAGTTAGATGAAATTATTTTGTTACAGATGGTCATAATTTAACATGAATTTTGTTGGACAAGAATGACAGGCAAAAAGATACACTGGTTGGTTTTAAGAACACCATAGTAGACAGAATAGTTTGTAGACGGCAATATGCAAAATGATTGGGATCAATAACAGCTTTGACATTTTCTAAGACAAATTCATTTCTGCTAGGCCTTGACTACTTTGTTACTAAAATAGGGCCCATAACAGACCCTTGTAGACTTGAGGGAGGAGCTTGTGAGACAGCGCAGCTGAACCCTTAGGGTGCCCTGTAGAGTGAGCCCTCAGCCACCAGGGCCTGCTTGGGGTAATAAAGTTTTGAGCGCTAGTAGCTAAGCACAGAGGAGGCTTTGAGTACAAGAATCACTATGGGCTTTTCTTAAGAGAAAGAAGAGTGTACTTGTGGACTATATTCCTCTCCTAAGCTTTAACCTTCACATCAGCCCAGGAAACATCTTTAATATTAGTAACTACTTTACGTGGCGAAAATGTATTAATCCCTCTAAACAGAATAACCTGTGCTCACTAATGTATTAGAAGTGATATGTTAATTTTTGGAGAAAGTTCATAGGTATAGTGAGGAAGCATAACAGAATCACCAGAGCTTTTGGTCAATAAATCTTATCCATTCATAAAATCAGCATATATTTACTTGGTGTGGAAATAGAGAATGCATTTTAGCAAAGTGTTTATGTTAAGACTCTAAAATAGTATTATTCATTTTTGTGAGTAGTTTTCATTTATAGAATTGATATCATACTATAGGTACCATTTTCTAGCTTGCTTAATTTTCCCTTCAGTCTGATCCTTTGGAGATCTATCTATGTATGATACTTAAATCCCTAATTCATTCACTTTAGTTGTCTTGTATTCCAACATGTGAATATGCCATACTTTGTCCATTCTCAGGTTGACGTTTGAGTAGTTAATAGTTACTTGCTTTTATAATAATTCTGTGTAATAATATATGTATTTATACTTCTCTGTGAAAATTTAGAGTGTGTATCGAGAAGAATAATTACTGGCTCATAGGCTTATGTGTAATTTTTACTTTATTAGATGAGTTGTTAAGCTGCCTTTTATGGTGGTTATACCAAACTTTATTTCTGTATCCCTTCTGTAAGTTCCTCTTTCCCCGGTCCGTTGTTACTACATAACATAGTCATTTTTTATAAAACGTTTTGTCAGTCTGATGGATGAAAAATGGTACCTCTTCTTAATAAATAAAGCATAATTGGATTAGTTGGTTGTGATACACATTTGCTCATTTGTTATATTGTTGAAGAAGAATCATCATCATCATCATAAAAGGTTTATTGGGTGCTTACCATGTACCAGCGCCTGATTTGTACTTGGGTGTATTAAGTAATTTAATCATCTCACAATCTCTGATATAGAGGCCTTTATTGACACTATTTCACAGCTAAGAGAGAATGGGATAGACTAAGCAAGATGCGCATTGTCACATGATTACTGTGTTAAGAGGCAGAGCAGGTTGAGACTGGAACTTGGAAACTTAGCTAATTGTCAACAAAGTGTGACCTCAGAGCTGTGTTTTACCTTGCCTTTCTGAATTTCATTCTTTTTAAGCTTATGTATAAAGCTCTAGAAAGACCCACCTTTTTTCTGTGGAATTAACTATGATGTGAAAATACCCTACACATCGTTTGTTTTATAGATTTTAATTTTCTTTCCCTGGAATATCTACTGGGTTCTGGTCCTGTGGATAAGGAGCTTGGTTCCTCAGCACTCTGGTCGTTTCAGCAGCTCTCTCTCTCTAGGTTGCTTTCTCCATAGCTAGAATCCATATCTTTTAGTTCTAGACAGCATATTTAAAATTTTGCTATCTGTGCCAAACTCTTATGAGAGAATAAGGTGCTATTGTCCACAGGTTACTTTACCTCTCAGCAGTTCTTTCCTTCTTTGTACAATGGGGCTAATAATGAGTATGAGAATAAAAGAATAAGATTGAGACCTCATGATCCCTTGATAAATATTAACTGTTATTGCTGGGTTTTTGTACTATTCCAGAAATCACCTACCCAAAAAGAGCCCCAGGAGTCATTTTATTTCCTTCCTTCCTTCCTTCCTTCCTTCCTTCCTTCCTTTTCTTCCTTCTTTCGTTCCTTCCCTCTCCATCCCTTCCTTTCTTCCTTTTAAGAGAAAATATAAATATTTCTACCTGTGTATTCTGGCTTCTTACAAATGAACATGAAGTGGCTAAAGTTGCTGACTTGTGTGCTCTGGTAGTTTATCTTAGGAAATGCCTTAAGAAACAAAAGATGATATTGATTCTTTTCTTTCACAGAATTTCTAGAGTGAGAGAAAATGAATAGAATTTAATATTCACGAAGATTTTATAAGATCAATGATCATGGTAAATTCTTTAAAACTAAACTGGTGAAGTTTCTAAGATTATAGGTTTCCTGTTAAGTAAAAGTACTGACCAAAGGAAAAATGTGTCTCAGCATTTGTTTATCTGATTCATTGCTAACCTTCTCTTTTATCTGTGATACACTTTAATTCCCAGTCTTTTCTTTTTGGATCTCCACTCAGTTCTCAGCAATCCTTTTTGACCTTTCATTTCCTTTGGGAGCACCTCAAATGTTAAGGCTGAGGGCACATTTGACCATGTTGTCTTCTCTACTTATTGGCCAGTGTTGTTTTCTTTTGTGAGGCATGGAGCAGACTGTAAAGATTTAGCACTCATCTGCTGCCTTGTCTCAGACCAACACCTCGCTGCAAATCACCTTACTCTTACATGCCTGCCTTTTCCCAAGATGTGTACTTTAAATCGATTTATAAGTCTTACAACTATTTGTAATTATTATAAATGATCATTTGTTTATTCTCTGGGTAGAGAAATGCATTCAAGACAAAGGCAGTAGCTCTTAAAGCAACAGGAAGGAGGTGATGTGGTAGCTGGATGGGAGAGAGCCAAGTGTGGTTTAGGAAGTTTAGGGAGGTAGAAGAGGGATCAAATTATGTAGGATTTTGTTAGCCACTGTTGTTCATGCCCTGACTATTAATGGAACAGGTCTACTTTGACAGGAAAGATTTTGCAAAGGCAGGCCTCTAATGTAGCGTGTCCAGGAGTGTTCTTCCCTGGATTTGGCTGCTGAGTTTCGAAGCTACCATCTGTTCAGTGGTAGCTAAATTTACTGATTACTTAGTGCCTATAATATTAAAGCTCCTGCAAAGTGGTACTTTTACACTGGTCTGTGCCCCAGCCCGGAGTGTGAGTCTTATACTTACTTATAACAAATCAGCTGCATGCGTACACTAGCATTTATCAGGCCTTACAAAGCATATCATTAGGAAAGCATTTTAAACTACATTGTTTTACTACTAGTATACCATTTTTTAAAAAGTTTTGCTTATTACTATTTTTAACAATTTCAGTCATTTTTGAACCTATAGTTCATTGGCATTGAGTACATTTACATTGCTGTACAGCTGACACTACCATCCAGCTGCAGAGCTTTAGTCATCTTGCAAAGCTGAGACTCTCTGCCCATTGTCCCTCCTCCCACTCCCTGGTAACCACCATGGTACTCCTCTCTATGAATTTGTCCACTCTAGGGGTTCATATTCATGGACTAATGGTATTTGTCCTTTATTTCACCTAATATAGTGCCCTCAAAGTTTATCTGTTTTGAAATAGTTTTCAGATTTTTCTTCATTTTTAAGGATGAATAATAATCCATTGTGTCATATATTATTTTGTTTGTTTATTTTGATGTTTGGTTGTTTCCACCCTTTGATTATTATGAATAAAAAGTGCTTCTATAATCTAAGAGTACAAAATATCTCAGTGAGACCCTGTTTTGAATTCTTTTGGGTATACACCAAGAAGTGGAATTACTGAATCATGTGGAAATTGTGTTGTTAATTTTTAAAAGAACCACTTCTATAACAGTTGTACCATTTTGCATTCCCACCAAAAATACATGGGTTCCCAATTTCTCCGTATTCTCATCAATGCTTGTTACTTTCTGCTTTTTTGATAGTTGCAATTTTAATAGGTATGAGATAGTATCCTTTGGCATATTGACTTATACATGTAATGATTAATGATAGTAAGCATCTTTTAATGTGTTTATATGCCACTAATATATCTTCTTTACATAAATGTCTATGTGAGTCCGTTGTTTATTTTTCAATCTACTTGTTTGTTTTTTGTAATTGAGTTTTACAAGTCCTCTGTTAATCCCTTGTCAGATTGTGATTATCCCTTGTCAGATTGTGATTATCAGATATATTTACCTCCCATGGCTTATCTTTTTACTCTTGGTGGTGTCCTTCATACAAAGATTTTCAGTTTGATTGTTTCAATTTGGTTTTTATTTTTTCCTTTGTCAGGGCCTTTGGTGGCATATACAGGAAGGCATTGTAAAATCCACTATCAAGAAGTTTCCCTATATGTTTTCTTCTGAGAGTTTAAAAATTTATTTTTGATAGGGTTGAACTTTGGAGAGAACCAAGCAAATCCTTGGGCATCAGCATTGTTGGCGGACGAGGGATGGGGAGTCGTCTGAGCAGTGGTGAAGTGATGAGGGGCATTTTCATCAAGCATGTTCTCGAGGACAGTCCAGCCGGGAAAAACGGGACCTTGAAGCCTGGAGACAGGATAGTAGAGGTATCCTTCATGAGCTTTCTGCGTCGGGATCTTCACCTCTGCCACCTGCTTTACCAAAGGGGTTGCCATCTGGGTACTGGTTACTCTACTCAGTGTTAGAGAAAAGTATGTTTGCAGTTAAAATATTTCTTTCCATCCTTCTTTTTCTTTTATTTATATGATGGCACATTGTATATCTCAGTGAAGAAGCTGATGCTTAGTAATATTGCCAACCAGTTTTTAAAACATTTGCCCCATGGTAAAATAATTATATCTGTTTGAAAAAATAAAACAAATTTCTTAGGGAAAATTGAATTGTTTAAAATTATATATAATTTTATGTAGTATATAATATATATCATAATATTCACAATATATATAATGTACATATCATAATTACATTTTCCAATGCAATTTATTTTGAGAAATACTTTATCATTATTTGAGTGTAGAAAAACTTTGTTGGATGAGATTTTATTCCAAGTAAATCTTTATTTTTTATAAAATCCTCAAACATCAAGCCCTTGATTATTGTTTATAAATATTTTCCCCCCAGTGCAGTCAGGGGACTCCTTTCTCAGTGACGCGTGCACTGACCACTGCAGACACTGACTGTTTGCACATGCATGTTCACCTGTGGATGTTATATGTGAGATGGAAGTGTGTAATCAGTTTGTCCCTAATCTCTAATTCAAAACAGAGTTTAATATTCTAAGTAGACTCTTCTTACATGACCTGCTGCATTCCAGGTGGCAGGCCAGGCTCTAGATGACCCACCGTAGATAAGGTGTCTCACCTGCCCAGCAAGGAGGCTGACATGCAAGCTGGTCCTTCAGAGCAGTAGCCAAGGACAGTTCTATTTAAAATGGTACAAAATAGGTACCTGACCCAGATTTTCTGATTTACAGAGTAAACTAAAAGGGACAGTTTCAAACTGAAGACAATTTTATTACTAATAATAGCCATTGTATTTATACAACTGATATTCTAAACCTATATAACTTATGCATTAAAGTGCCATATTGTTTAAATTTTATCAGTTATGACTTTAAAAATGAGGATTTATTTACTTATTACTTTATTAATCGTCTCTGAGAGCCAGAGAAGGAAGAGATTGATATTTGAGAGAAAAGCAAGGGCCCCATCTCTTTTCTCCCCACTGCAATCATTTATAGGGAATAATGACAAGCTGTTTCTCCCTGCTGCATCCTTATCTTTCATTAAATTTTGTATTGGCCCACTTTGAAATAATTCTCTGTGAGTTCCATCTAAATTTTCAATTTTAGGGCTGAGGATTTAGCTCAGTGGTTCTGTTGCCTGCCTTGAAAGCGCAAGGTCCCGAGTTCTGTCTCCACCTGATACCAAAAAAAAAAAAAGAAGGTCCTGAAGTTTTGGGCCAGGGATCTACCTCAGTGGTTTCGCCACCTGCCTCCCAAGCGGAAGGACCCGAGTTGGATCCCCAGTACCAAAAAAAAAAAAGAAAGTAAATTTTCAATTTTAGATCATCATTGAAAAGTTTATTTTATACATTCTTTATTATGGATATTTTTAGCTTAAATAAAAAAATAAAAAGTATTATAATTATTTCAAGAAAACATTGGTCATAGTTTGTCCCAAAATATTAAATGTATTAAGTTAAAATATACCTTTCATTTTGCAAAGAAAGAACATTTCTGAGTTAGGAAGTAGCCACAGGTTAGCGTAATTGGTGCTGACTCGTGCATCATGTGCAGAGGCTTTCCCATTACACGGAACGCCTTGGCCTCTGTACCATGGGACTCTGACCTGTGCCTGTCCTGAGATGATCTGAAAAGGTGTGCAAGTTAGGTGGCCAGAGGTCCACAAAGTAGTACTCTGTTCTGAGTGTAGTGTTCTTTGGACTTGCGCTAAGATATCTAGCATCATGTTAAGTTTTCCCACTAGTGGAATATATGGTAAACACATAGTAGACAGGAATACTGACCTTTGTCTTACAGAAAAACAAAACTTTAAAGCCATTTTTAATGTACACCAAAATAAATTGCTCTGTCATCTGTGTGTCAACGTGAGGGAGATTTTCAACTAAAGTAGTAGTTCTTTGTGATTCTTGAAAGATGATAATGTTCTGTGCCAACATCTGATAATTGACTTTCTTTTCCAGAATTGTGTCCACTCTGAGCTTCCTTGGTAATTGGGAACAATAAAATGGCAAAATAATCTACAGTTTTCTGGCAAGATTAGCATTTGGCCTTTTAAACTCTTTTCTTCCTTGTTCATGTAGTCTATAAGCGAACCAATCATCACCTAAACAGTTGATCATCATTAAAAAAATTACAAAATAACTTTTACTTTCAAACTATTTGTATGAGAATTACTAACAGATGAGCACAATATCTTGGCTTCCAGCTCGTGTCATGTCTATTGCAAAGATATTTTACAAAACTAGCTTTACTGTAATCTGATTGGTTTGGACATCAGAATTTTGTTTTTAACCTGAAGTTTCCTAGTATAGAAATATATAAAGCATCACTTACCTCCTCCCAAACTACTCTGTAATGAAGTAGAAGAAAATCAATGCAGTGACTTTCATGAAGACAGTGCTGCTAGTCCCTTTTAATTTTTATGTTTTAGTCCCTTTTATTATCTCTTTATTGATGCTGATTTATTAATTTAAAGGAACAACTCAGCAATGTAAGGAATGCAGAAGCAGAATGCCATCATTCCAGCTGATTACTATTTCAGAAATCTGTGTCCAAAAGAAGTCTACTGGTCAGATGAAAAGTTTCACAGCCTTAAAAGTAGTCTCAGTTATTGGAGATACTGAAGCAAATTTCTCAGGAGCCTAATGGAGGATCTTCAGAACCCCAGATCCATAAATTGTTCTTTTATTCTGTAGCTTCTTGAATGTTAAGCTGAGGCCTTCCATTGCAGGTGGATGGAATGGACCTCAGAGATGCAAGCCATGAACAAGCTGTGGAAGCCATTCGGAAAGCAGGCAACCCAGTAGTCTTTATGGTACAGAGCACTATAAACAGACCAAGGGTAAGCAAACATAAAGGGCGAGGTAGGCATATCCAAACAGTGCTCAACTTGGAGTCTCATTCAGCAAGGGCCAAGTTCTCTGTATGAGCAGATAATGGATTCATGAAGTCTCAAAAGACTTATTAAGATTTTTTGCCCTTTTAAACATTGAGTTATTTGGAAATCCCCTTCACCATGTTTAATAGTCTTAAAGTCTGTTGAAAATACATAGAAGTAGGATTTATTTATGATCATAAGTTTCTAGATGGTTAATTACTCATATTCATTTATAGTCACAAAATATACAAATTGTTGAAAGGCATGTGGCATAGTCATTCAGGTTAAGTCTGTGATTTCTGTAGAGCCCCTTGGAAGCCAGAAGGATTGCATTTCCTTTAAATTTATTCCCCAGACAGAATCTGCTATCTGATGTATTTGTGCATCCCACTGAGCAGAGTTTTACAGGGTGGATTTTGTTTATTACTAGTGATTTTATAATTGCTGTTACCAGCTGTAATCACTATATAGTTCATCACCATATAGCTCCTGGTGGACAGAAACCTACTAATCATCTTACCCTCTCATCAAAGGCAAAATCCTTTGAAAATATTTTAGAGAATACAAGCACATGTAGTGAACATTGCTGATGAAGAATTCAAATAAGGCTTCATGGATTTAATATGTCCTAATGATGGTGAAGGTGAAAATTATCAGGGTTTAAAATTCTTTTTTTCCCCTATTCTGTATGCCTCAAAAAAAATTTCACATGCAGGAGTTACTAAATATATTTTTGCATAACAAAATTCTTGAAAAACATGGATGGTGCCTCAAAAGCTTTCCTACTATTTCAAGAGTTTCTTAGCTTCCTGAAGCTCTTAGTTTCTACTTGTGGATTTAGCAATCTCTGTTCTACTAATTCTCTTTGAATTACCTGCTTATCTTTAAGGTTGGTTGTCTTTAAAAGAAAAATGTCAACATATATGAGGGTAGTTAAAGGTATCATCTAAAACTTAATATAATTTTATGTATAAAATACTTTGAATTTAACTTATAAAATTGAGATAATGCTGAAATGATGAAACATCTGTGGATGAGATTAGCAAAAGTAATATCAATCTTCTATGTCATGGAACACAAAGTAACCATATTTATTTCATTGGTCCTTCCTTTTGTTCTTAAGACAGGTGTAACTCTGGTCTTCATTCCTTTAAGGAATGAATTTAGTAGTTCTTAAGCAGTTTTCTTCACATCTGCAGGTTTTAATCATTCGGTTGTTTATTGTTAGGTAATAATTATCCATTCAGATAGAAAATCTGCCAAATGGTAGGGTTGTATCATGCTGCATTCTTTACAAATCCATTCAATTTGTTTAAATAACTACAAATCCTTTTACATTTGTTTCCATTTGTTGTATCAAACACAGACACAGCATGATAATGTAGCTAAATTAATGTTTAAGTTAAAGCTTTTATTCTGTGGGTGGGTGAGTTCTATTCCTTTTTTGTTGTATTTTTAATTTCCACCTTTTACATCATTTGGGAGAATATTATAATCGATGAATAACAGTTCTTAATATTACTTTAAAAAGTTAAACTACAAACATTTCTTTCAATGGCCATCACATTTTCTAATGAGCCTAGAAAGATATTGTCTAATACACCTGCAAAATATTACTATTTTATTATATGAGGTATAATAACACCTAATTTTGAAGCAATTATCCCAGGATAAATTTTGGTTGAAGTGACATGTTTAGTCACGTTTTGTACATTTTGTTTTGGGAAATAATTAATTTTTCATTTAAAATGAAATATACCTTGTTTCCAGGGATTTACCTCCCTGTGGAAATAATCATGTCTGTAGTAATATAAAGCAAAATAAGAAAAATCACAAATACAAATCTTAGTGGTGAATGTTTTGTTTGTGAATGGAGGATAAGGCTTCCAGGGAATCTTATGTGTAGGCTGATGAGCTGACCCTTCTTGTTGGCCCTTAGGCTGTTCATGGGTCAGAACCTCCCAGCGGGTCCTGATCGCTCTGCCTCAGTGTGGCTCCTTAGGAGTTAGTCTGGCCTCACTGACTGAAGGACGAGCCCCACTGATACCATTAACGTGGGCCAGGGAAAGTTTTCTTCTTCCCTGAATGTCCTCTTAGTTAATAATGTTTCTGCTTTTATCAGCCACTGAGAATATAGACAACTTTGTCACTGATTTTTTTTTTTTAGCAAAAAGTTGTATTTCTATCTTTTCCCAAGAATAGAGTGACCTACTGTTTCTTCTGCTGTGCTCATCCTGTCACTTTACATTTGCCATCAGGGCCAAATTCTAATCCTATAAGATCTGCAAATTTTAACAACAACAAAAAAAAGCAACCAAAAATTACAGATCTCTTTATTCTATTTCTTACCATCATGATTTTGTTTTCTGTTGGGCTACATAATTATAAAGGACACTTGAAGCTGAAAAATACTATGTGTGAAGATTGGAAATAGTCTCTACCCTCAGTACATGGAATTATTTTCTTTAGGATATGGTTTATCTCTGCCCTGTTATTGCTTCCATTTTAATAAATGGTCATGTTCCTTGGCATTTGTGATGTTCTCTTTTGTAAACCAGGAGTTGACATTTTAAACTGATTTGGAGGGAGAAAGTCGAGATGGGCAGAAATGTCATTGTGCCCATATCTTTCTCCCTGTCTTCCCTCTGTAGGAAAAACGTTGCAAGAAGAGCAGATTGAAAGGGTTATGTAGCATACGCTTTGGTATAGGCGCTCGAGGACACAGTCTTCCCAGGGTGTTCTTCCACAAGGAGTGGGGTCACGTGACAACCTCTCTACACGCCATGCCTGCCAGTGGGGCTTTTTTTATAGACAGAAGTAACACAAACATTTAATTGGAGCCAAAATGAATTTTAAATGTCTACAGTTTCCCCTGAAAGATACAGTCAATAAAAGAAAAAGATAGCGGGTATGAAAAAAGGAGAAGAATTTATTGTGCTGAGGAAATTAATTTTTTTTTAACTATGAGAATGCTAAATTCTATCTGGCAAGCAACCTGCCTTTAATATGTATATTCAGCTCTAACAGTCCTGGCTCAGACAAATCACAAAATCTATGTGAAACACTCTAAAGCGGGTCTTCAAATATTGTTCAAAGCCCATAAATTACCAAATAATATGGGAAATTTTATAGGAATTTTGTTTTAAAATATGAATCTTTATGTTCCTACCTTCACAGAAAGAGAATACCACTATAGACTGGTGGTTCATTTCTCCATGCTTTTAAATTTATTGCTATGAAGCAGCCTTAATATCTAGTCAAAATTTGAAAAGTTTCCTTAGAGGAAAACAAAATAAAGGAATAATGAAAGTTACTCATGAGCTTGCAGACAAATGTTCAGTATGCATTCTGGAATATATAGACTATTTTAAAATAATACAATTACCTTTTAAATATAAATAAAAGAAATTTGAGAGTTTTAATTTTGAAATGTGTTTGTTGATATTCATAAAGTGTAAATTAATATATAAAGTAGATAAATATATATATATGTCTGTCTGTGATAGAAAAGCCATTCAGTGAAAATAACTTTGAGGTCAGTTTGACATTCTAGTTGTTATATTGCTTGTGGACTGATTTCTACTCCGGTATCAGTTTAGGACATAACAGGCAAACCTTCAGCACAAACTTATGATGATGCCATTAATTACTAGATATATAGAATCTAGTTTCACACAGACAGTTCTTTAAACCAGTAAGTATTTTGTTATAAAAATTGAGTTGTTTTAAGTACATTTCTTTTGCGCTTAGCGCCTCTTATGTTTCCTTTTAGAAATCCCCTTTGCCTTCCTTGCCGCACAACCTTTACCCTAAGTACAACTTCAGCAGCACTAACCCATTTGCTGACTCTCTCCAGTTCACCGCTGACAAGGTTGGATGATGCCCATTGTCTTGCCATTGCCTTTTGCAAATGTTTCGTTCTGTTTTACTACTGTGCTTTGTCCCAGTTCATTGTTTGCTACATTTGGGCAGGAAAAAAATCAAAACTAAAAAATAACAGTGTGTTTGGAGTGGGCATGTGAATTTTCTGTGAGAAATTATCTTTATGGCTGAAACTAAATAGTCTTTTCTGAAAAGGAAGGGAGTAACCTGAGTCTAGTGCCTTTCCTGAATTTTATTGAGATTTAAATTTTCTGATACCCAGATTTTTGCTAATTCCCAAGTAAATGAACTGCTTTTACATATATTTTCTTTAAAACCTTGTATTGGTTAAAACCTTTCAGACTTTACAAGATGGCCATAGAAGCTCTTTCAATTGTTCCATAAATCATTGTATATGTGTACTCACATTAGTCTGTTGAATATTCATTAAGTGTACCTGTGTAAATGCCTGAGTCAGGAAGTTTAACTGTTTCCAGGCTTGTAAGTCTATACTTGGATAGTCTCATATGCTGATAAATTATAAACACCGAACAGAAATTTACAAGAACTTATATACCATAATTTGATTATGGAAAGAAAGAAAGCTGTCAACAATTTCTTTTAGAAAACATTTTATGAATATTCATCACATTTTCTTATTATTGTAACATAGATAAGCAAAGATGCCATTTCTGAAGGAATATGTTTTTTATTACTGTAGGAATTATAGAATTCAAGTAGAATTATCTTCCACTGTTCCCCAACTAACCCTTTTGCTCCCACACCATTTAAGGTTTGTCTTCAATGTGAAATTTTTCTGAGTGGGTTAAAATGTGTTCTATGTGTATGTTATACTTAATGTATACATATGTCATGGAATGATTTCAAGCGCACTTTGGATTTTTGCCAAAAAAAGGCTAAATGATCTTTGTTAAAGACTTACTTTTTCTTTAAGAAATTTTAGAGAGTGTTAATAGCAAGCCAATTAGATCTTGAAAAAATGAGGGTACCAGTAATGGTAAAATAGAAAACCTAATTGTCCCTCAAGTAAATACAGACTAATACTAGTTTTGTGATGAATGGACTATGTTAGGACACCATTTCAGTTTGTCACCAGTATGAAAATGGTATGCCTAATATCTCGAATACCTTTTAAAATAATAAAGTTTTGTTTCTTTGTTCTTAAGGAAAGTAACAGTCCAAAACTTACACAGCAAAATTTGTAAAATGTGTATCCACAGATTTGTTAAAATTAATAGAGGTTTAATTTAGAGTTTGTTACACTTTTAAAAAATGAAATGGAGTTAATTCAGTCTTGCTAAATAACATTTTCTATTGTTACAGAAAATTAAGTTTTCTTAAATCTGAAGTAGATCTGTTATTATATTCTTAATCTTGATAAGATCAAATGAGGTTTTGTATGTTTGTTCACTTTTATTTGTGCATTATTAATGAGAGAGATTTAAGGAACCACATTTAGGAAGATAATTGATATTTCATTTGCACTAGGAACTTTCATCTGCTTGGCCAGTGACATGTAAACTCAACATTTTAGTATAGCAAATTCTGTAATCTAAGAAGCGATTGCCCTGCAGTCTGTCAGCCGGGTCTGCCAGATAATTAAGTGCTTTCTCAGTCATCAAAGAAAGATCACATTCATGTCATATTGTTTTAATATTGATATATTTTGTGGTATTCTGATTTTTGGCACCAAACAATGATTCCTAAGTATTTGTACATGGGTATCATCCAGTGTATTTGTATCATTAGATGTAGTGTTTTATTTAAATCACAAGTTAGGTGAGATGTTTTTTATTCAGAAAAAAGTAAAACAAAGAATAGAAAAATATAGGTTAAAAGCATCAGGAAAAGCTTCATACAAGGGCTGATACATCAGTGGGTGTCCTGATCCTTGAATCATGTGCTATCTTACTGTGGAAATCAGAGGAGACAGTGTGGTATAATGCAAAGTGCACCTATGGGATTAAGAGTTAAGCAAAAAGAAGCCTAGTACCACTGGGTGATTTTTGAATGAAATAGTTTTCTTCTTGTGGCCTCAGCTTCAAAGAGTTTATTCATGTGCAGAATTCACAGGCTCAGTGACTTAAAGAGCTTTCAAACACATTCTGTTTGATAATAGCTAATATAAGAACTTGTGAATGCCAGATTCATTTTTTAAAAATAGGACCTATGGTCCCAAGTGACAGTGAGTATCCCACATGTTGGTTTTGTATGTGCATTCACTTGTGTTTTCTCACTTCCCTGGTGAATGACTTAGGCAGAGAAAGGCAGTGTTGCCCCTTAGAAACACACCCGTTCAGCTGGGAGTCTGTGTGCTTTGTGCTCACAGACTGACCCCTGCTAGCCAAGTCTGCGTGTGGAGTGCTCTTTCTTTTGCATGGATTTGTTGAGAATCATTTGGGAGAGGATTCAGGTAGCAATAAAGGTTTCTTTACATATAGATTCACTAATGAGTTTTGAAGGACAATCTCCTTGTTAGGAGGACAATCTCCATTGCTTCCTCCTCTGTAGTCTCTTCCTCCTGCTCCTCCTCCTCCTCCTCTTTCTCCTCCTTGCCCTCCTCCTTTTTCTTCATCCCTTCTTTGTTTTGTTTCTTGACAGACTTTTCTAGACCCCTGAATCTTGCACATATCCCTCAGTATTTATACATCTTGAATAAGAATCTTTTTCCAACAGGGGAAGTTTTAACACTTTTCTATCTTAGATCCTTTAAGCTTTAAAATTGAATTATTCATTGGCATAATAGCACATAAGACCTTAATAAAGTGTGTTCTGGTGCTATTTTGTATATTTAAACTTTACCTGAATCCTACCTACCATTTCATGTGTGCATATATGAGCTTTCCGTGGTTTGGTAGATATTTTAAAGCCAGTTTTTGTTTTTTACATTGTTCTGTTGGATTTCTTTTCCTTATGTTTTGCTCCTTAGACTGCACAGACCCACGGCATTCTTCTTGTTCCCCCAGGCACCCAGCCACTCAGAGCCAGAGTCAGAGAAGGCTCCAGTGTGTGATGTTCTTCGGCCCTCTTCCCCAGCATTTGCAGAAATGGGCAGTGATCATGCACAGACATCTGCAGGCATGATCTCAGAGGATGTGGACAAAGAGGATGAGTTTGGTTACAGCTGGAGTAAGTTCTTTCTGTGATGCATTTAATCACAAGCAGCCTTAAAATAGCTCTGAGGTTCTCAAAGCATATGTCTCGTATGAATAGTCTGTTTCAGCTTCAAAGACACATGCTGCCATTTTGTGTGGGGAAAATACTGTTTGTTTTAGTTGAATACAACATACATTCCTGAGGCATAAAATCATAGTTTTCCTTTCCTTTAAAACTGCACTGCTATTAAACTGCTTTGCTTCTTGCATGAGAATTGAAGAGGACAAAGTATTTTCTCAGTGCACAGAATCAGCTGTCTGTAGTCTGGATATCTAGGCCTCAGATTTCTCAATAAAATCTAGTAGCTGTTGATATTACCCTGAAACTTCTGATATGTCTGTACTAGTACTGTGACATAGTATAGTGGTTGAAATGAAAACTTTGGCCATTTGTTAAATTTTTTAACAACTTCCAAGTTTTAATCCAGTGGTTATCTCTTTCTAAAAATACTGTTCTTCCCCTGGTTTGCTAACATTAGATTGGATAATGTCTGAGGAGTACTAAGCACAAAGCTTGATGTACAAGAATCATTCACAAGCAGCTAATAAGATCCATGGGGTATCTCTGTTTCTAAGGAAAAAGACTATTTTATAGGGAAAGATTAAATACTTAGCCAAAACTTATAAATGTGTCATTATGTTAAAAAGTTTCCTTTAAAAATCTAATTATTTTCTTTAAGAAAACTATAGTGCATTTAGAAAGAACAGAATGTAAAAGTGGTGCTGTTAGATTCTAGGAGTCAAGAGAACAGTTTATTTCATGTAGTTAAGAATCAGTGTAAATGCAGACCATTAGCCATATAGCAATTTTCTAAGACATGATTTGTAAAGTTGGTAGTTTTTATTTTGTCTGATATCAATGCCATTAGAATATCTTGCTGATCTAATCAAGGTGATGAGAATATACTGAGAGGGCAATGTGATCCAGAGTTTTGGTTGCCATCATCCAGCCGCTCTGTGACTGTATGGCCTAGAGCAGTGTCTTAGTGTCTGCAGTGCTCCGGTCAGCTAGCTCTGCAGGCCTGGACTTGGGCCACCTCCTCACAGCCAGCAGTCAGTGGTCCTGCCAGGTGCTCACCCCTGTGGGCATTGGAGCAGATCCTGGTGTGGCTTCTGAGGCAAAAAGGGGTACATCACAAACTCGCCTCTTGAGACTATGGAGGGGGAGAGAAATGGTCTCATCTAGTCAGGACATGGACCTCAGAGCTATAGCGGTCACATCTATGCATCCTGGCCTAATGGTTGTGTGCATAAGAAAACTCAGTCCCTTCATTCTGAATGTGTGAACCAGGTGACTCCCACCATGAGATAATCTACAGTGTACATTTGACATGGGAGAGGAGCTCCTGCCCATCAGAGAACACAAGTGTTATGCATGCTTTATTTGTTGTGCTCTACAAATGATAAAATTAATTTCTGGTTCAGTTGTAGTCTTTTGAGAGTTTGTAAATGTGAATAATCACGTCTCTTGGGCCTGATTATGCCAAGGTGAACTTATTAATCAGAAACTGTGCCCTCCCACCCTTGATACAAAGAAATTCCTCAAAGTTTGAGAATTCTGAGAAACCAGTCCTGATGCCGAGGCAGCCAGTCTGTTTTCCTTTTAGCTGCCAAAAATTACATTTTGGTCCAAATAATGCCTTTTTGAGATAAAACCAAGTAGCCTAGCATGTCAAAGTGTATTTGGCTGTGAACTAGCTTTTAATGCATATGGTATTGTCGTTATTTTTGTGTGTAGAAAATATCAGGGAGCGTTATGGAACCCTGACAGGCAAGCTCCATATGATTGAACTAGAGAAAGGGCATAGTGGTCTGGGCCTAAGTCTTGCTGGGAACAAAGACCGAACCCGAATGAGTGTCTTTATAGTGGGAATTGATCCAAACGGAGCAGCGGGAAGAGATGGTCGACTGCAGATCGCGGATGAGCTTCTAGAGGTAAATTCTTATGGACGGCTTTGAATCTTTTCTTGCCATATCAGAACAGTGGAATCTCCAGAATCTAGAAAATACCCAGACCTCATATGTTGACTGAGAAAACTGTCACTGGCCTAATAGAATAGATGCAATGCAGCAAATTTGGCTCTAAACCAAATCTCTGTGTTCCCATTAACTTCCATTCAAAGGTCATGACTGTGTAGCACCAGAAACAATTTTTGCTCCAAGACAGTAATAAAAATCACACTTGAAAAACATTTTTGAGCTGCATTTTTATTAGTTTTTGAACAGTGAAATGACTTGCCATTCCCCAGGTGTGAGGTCAGCCCCAGGGGCATTCCGGAGGTGGACTCCCTGTGGGGTGCGCTGGGGGTGAGGCAGGGCTGTGGGGCTGAGTAACAAGTGAAGTAACTCAGCTGCCAAACACAATTAATTTGTGAACTAAACTTGATAGCCCTGAGAATTTATTTGTTCGTGCTGTTTGTCCTTGTGGCCTGTAAGCAGCATCTGTATCTTCAGATTGCATTTACACTGATTTTCCCTGTAGGCTACGCAGACTCTGACAACAGTGGCTGAGTGACTGGAAGACTTAACTGGCAGTTTGTGCGGCTGCTGTGTGGCTTAGGCAGGGCCTGCTGCCTATATTTGCAGTATCCCTAGCACTGCTTCTTCTAGGGGAGAAGGGGCTATTACAAGCCTTGAGTCTTGAGACAACTGGGAAAGGCGAGAGTACTTCCAGGACGGTCTCTGTGGGCCACATAGCCGTTGCTCTATAAAGCAGGTGGGAATCAGTGCCTTTGAGCAGGTTTGCTGTCCGCTTCTTGCAGTTGATGCAGATGATGCCTTCTCCAGCGTCACTGTAATATGGGCTTTGTGCACATCAAAGATCAGGCTTGTGTCCTAGTGAGGAAAACACAGAATATTTTAAAGAAGAGAAAAAGTTTGATTAGCTGGGTAGGATAATAAAAATTTATGGAATTAAAATTTGGAGCTTAACCAGTGATACTTAATTTTCACAGATCAATGGTCAAATTTTATATGGAAGAAGTCATCAAAATGCCTCATCAATTATTAAATGTGCCCCTTCAAAAGTAAAAATAATTTTTATCAGGTGAGAATGTTCTTCTACTGGTTTACCAAATACTTTTTGTTAACATTCAGACTCTAGTTCTTTTGAACAAAAATAAAATATTTGTGTTTATATGTGAGTGTTGTAGTTCCAAGTCTTTAGAGTTAGAGGATTTTTCCTAATATTTTGACTCTTCAGGTAAGAGTATGGAAATAATATTTTGGGTTGATGCTCTTTTTTTGCTTTTAGAAATAAAGACGCATTGAGTCAGATGGCTGTATGTCCCGGAAATACGGTAGAATCTTTGCTTTCCTCAGACAATCTTCAGAATAAGAAGGTATTTGTTACATTTCTCTGGGAAAATAGGATCAATATACCCCTTATAAATTCAGTTAACAATTATAGGCCACTTACAGGGATAGCAAAGATAAATGACTTATTGCTTCATTGCTAAGAGTTTAGAGCGTAGTAAAGATGACACTCGTGAAAATAAAAAACACCACTTGTGTGAAGGCTACTGTTAAGTCTGCATAGGCCGTAGTGAGAGTAGGAAAGGAATTATCAGTGCTTCCTGTGGAGAAGGAGTGAGAATAGACTAAAATTAGTAAATAAAACAGGATATACAAGACTTCCAGTTTTCTGTTGTGATTACCAAAATAGAAAATAGGAGCAAATGTCACAAAAGTATACTACATTCTTACTGAGGCAGTTTAAGAATGAAATGTCTGTCTGGAAGCCTGGTAAAAATACACATTGGGACATTTGGTCTAAAGTTACAGATCAGTTCTCATAGAGACTTTCCGCTTACTGGTCATGGAGTTGAAGCACGGCCCACAGAGAGCATTTAGGGAGAAGAAGGGTTCTGCCTTCTCCTGTAATATGGGTGGTGAGGAGGAGGGCTAAAGAGAGGTCAGGGAGAAGGAGAAGGAAGCAGGTTATATCGCATTTAAGGAGAGATGTTTCAAAAGGTTGTGTTCCACAGCCTCAGAGGCCACGGAGATGTCCAATGAGAGGACAATGGAGGAGATTCCCTGGATGGTCAACTAGCAGATTATTGGGAAAGCAGATAACGTATATGAAATTAAGGAGTAATACCACTTTTGGTGGTAGTTTTGATTTTGAAAAGCTTTGGATACATGTGTAAGATGGATAAAAGAGCTGGGTGTGGTGGCACATGCTTATAATCCAAGCACTGGGAAGCTGAGGCAGGAAGATGATAAATGAGATCCTACTCTGGACAATTTAGCAACTTAGCAAAACCCTAAAATTTAAATTAAAATTTCAAATAAATAAATTGTACTAGTTACCTTTCCCATAACTGAGACACAATACCACACACCCACAGCTTAAAGGAGAAGAGATTTAATTTGGCTCACAGTTAGGGATTCAGTTAATGATTTCCTGGTTCCAAGGTAGAAGCATCATGGTGGAAGGATGTAGCAAGCAAAGTTGCTCCACTCATCATGGCCAGGAAGTAGAGCACAGGGAAACAGAGACTCAGAGAGGAAAGGAAAAGGCCTCAGATAGAGACCCCGAAGCTGAGTCTCTGAAAACACCACCCAGATCTGTGCTTCACTCGTGCTGTCCCACAGGTGGATCTTGAAGCCCATCACATTGACCATCCACCTTCATGGTCACATGAAGTAAAAAGGGAGGGGAAGTAGCTCAGTGCAGAGTCCCTGAGGACCATGCATAAATGAATGAGAATATAATTCTCATAAATTCCATAGCATATTAAAGCAGTAACACTGAATTGCACTATATGAGATAATTTCGATTATGTGGGCTTTATAATTAAGCAAACAAGAATACTAACACTACATTATCCTTTTTGCCATTTCTTTTCTTCTGTCAGGTGGAACCCAGTATTCCTGCTTCTGATCCAGTTGCAGACCTCAGTTCACTTAAAAATGTGCGGCATCTGGAGCTTCCCAAGGTAAGTGTGTTTGGAGAGGGGACTGAGTGGTGGGCATACCTCACACCCATGCTCCCGCTCACTTCTTCTCAGGTGTGTGGTCTGCACACCAGCAGCATCAGTCTCACCCAAGCCCTGCTAGAACAGCAGACCCTTGCCGCTGAGACCCACCCACTGAAGGGAAGCTTCTGGGGTGGGCCTAGTAGGTGGAGTTTTAGTAAGTCTTTCTGGTGATTTAATGCACAGTAAAATTTGAGAACCAGCTAATTGCTACTTAGCAGGAGCCCAGCTTTCTGTGCATTTGTGATTATTTCAGGGTGTGAAATTCACCATCTTGCCTTTGATTCATTTATGGGGACCTGCTAGGGAAGAAATAAAATAAGAAATAGGAAATGCAGTCTTGTCTCTCATAAAACTAAAAGCTCAGATAGCTAGAAGTCTCACTGATAGACAATCAGTGAGGTATTTGCTTTGAGAAACTCTAAACCTTAGATTCAAATGACTTATTTGAAGAGGTGGCTTGCTGAACAGAAACTTCCACCTGCTTTCAGGTGTTCAGGCCGGGCCAGGAGGCAGTGAAATCTGTGCCGTGCTGGGGAGGAAAGGAGGAGAGAAGGTAGTGGGGTGGGAAGAGGAGGATGTTTATGAGAATGCTGAGGACAGAAGTGTGTGGTCAGCACCCTGCCGTGTGCAGGGAGAGACGGACCCCAGAGTGTTCTGTCTATGTGGAATCTCTCTTCATACATACATAGTCACATGCTGCACAATCTTCTTTACTTCAGTTTCCTCCCCTTTCAATTAAAGATCATAATAGCCGCCTCCATCCCAAGCTCCTAGGGCAGAGAAGCTCAGCCACTGCCAGCACCCGGAAGGAGGCTCCCCCGCCGCCATCACAAGCTCCTAGGGCAGAGAAGGTGAGCCACGCGGGCACCAGAAGCACGCCCACCCCTCCATGGAAAAGAGAAGACATGTAAACAAGTCTCAAAAACAGACTTCCAGATCAACTGCAGCAACCTCAAAGGGAAAAGGGATGGAACAGTCTGTTACTCAAGCACCCGGACTCTCTGAACTGGCAACAAAAGAGGATCTGGAAAAAATGAAATCAGAAATAATTACTCAGATAATAGCAAAGATTTTGCTCATGGTGCGAGACATGATTAATAAATCTAGAGAGGACAGATAAAGAAATAGAGGATCTGAGGAACATGATGGAATCCCAACATAGGAAACTAATGGAATCCATAAAACAAATGCAAACAGATTTCCAAGAGATTAAAAACTCCATTGAAAGTCTGTGCAGCAGAATGAACTAATATGAGGATAGAATTTCACATATAGAAGAAAAGATTGCAATTAATGACCAGGAAAAGAAAAATTGCTTGAAAATTGTAAAGGAACATGAGAAATCAATCCAGCAGCAGCTAGACGATGCAAAGAAGAATAACATAAGACTAATTGGAGTCAATGAAGAAAGAGGAGAGAGTGCAGATGACATAAAAAAAACTGTTCACAGAAGTGATGGCAGAAAACTTCCCAAGGAGGGGAAAAGAACTTGACATACAGATAAGTGAGGCATAT